TTCTGTGTGGGTGGGGAAGAGAGACTGGATTGTTTCATGAGTTGTAGTTTTGGTAGGCTGTCTCTTGTTGTTTGCTATTTTTGGTGTTTGATGGTTCGTCTAATGACCGCAGCTGACAAGTAACAGTAGTGTAGCAACAACAGGGCTTTGAAAACTAATACGAACCTGAAGTGTAGTTTCGCAATGGGACGGGCGTGATTGAATAGTGGAGCGTGTTTGGCTAGCCCGAAGGGTCTCGAGTTCGGATCTCAGTTTGGATTTGCGACTGCAGGACGTTCATGAGTCCATCCAGCTCTAATGAGTACCTAACTTACATTGGGAAAAGTAAAGGCGACTGTGCACACAGAGGCGTAGAGACCCCTCCCGGCGCCCGGGGCGAACTTTCAGTTTGGCGCCCCCCCTTATATATATATATATATATATATATATATATATATATATATATATATATATATATGTGTGTGTATATATATGTGTGTGTGTGTGTGTATCTTTTACTGTATGGCTCGGAACTAGGTTAAAGACAGTGGGGAATGAAAAGGTGGTGGTTAGGACACAATATGAGAAAGACAGAAAATAACATCACTATGCAGATGCTTGAATGAAGTCCATGGGGATAGTGGAAGAGAAAAAGACTAAATAAGTTCTGAAGGAAATCGTTTGAAATAGAGAAGGAGGAGGCTGGATTATTAGGGTTCTATCTTCATAAAAATCAAGTGAGTTGACGGAGTGTTGCCTACGCCTATGTTCCTTATGAAGCCGAAACGAAAAAAAGAAGAAAATCAAAAGAGCTTAGAACAGTGGGTTCCATCGAACCCGAGAGTTTCGATAATTCAGTCTCATGGCTTCAGCTGAGGTCAAGACACACAGCCGACTCATATGATTCACGATCGGATTTTGTCAGAGTGAACGATATAACTATTAAGAAGGGTTCAGTGATTGTGCATATGAAACTGGTGGGGTTCGGTGCCTTCAAAAAGTTAAGAACCACTGCTTTAGAATGTAGTTTGTAGAAGGTGCAAGCCTTATTTGGTCTACTTTTGGTCGTGTCTTTAGAACAATTTCGATAATAGTTAGGCCTCTATTACAATTTTAAATTATCAGTTAGGTTGACCAAAGTGTTATGAAAAAAATGTATCAAAAAATGATCAATTCAGTACAATATACTAATTTTCTTCTCTATTAAAATTTTGGCAAAGTGTGTCGTTTTCCACCACCCGCTCCGATAGTCTGCTATTTTACTGATCGGATAGCGATACAAGAATGATATTTATTTCTCTTTAATGAAGGGATCCAGGTAAGATGTAATGGAATCGAGTAAAAGTATCTGATCTCTAATGATGAAGTTTAGAGAATTGTAAGAATCTTACAAAGAAGTAGTCGCGTTATTACTTAGCAAAACTGGGTTGTGAAATTGTACATTAAGAGTTAATACAATTGATTTCTTTTCTAAGTGTTAAAAGAGTTATCTAGTCACCGATCCAGTACAAATCCTGTGGATTTTGTTGGTGAAGCGCCCCCCCCCCCCCAACATCTTGGACAAAAATGGTAGAGCGGATTTTAAACGTCACTAACTCTTTTTTTTAATGTTACACAATCGTAAAATACGCTTTAGCACAACGGGTTTCTCTTCTGAGTGATATCGGTTATTTATTCTTCATTCCGGTGTGAATATTTCCGATTTTATTCTTGGAAAAAGCGCTCCCTTCCCCCCCCCCCCCCCACCCCCATCTAGGAAGCTGGAAAGCGGTTTTCCCGGTCACTGTTTCTTAATGATATACGTTTTACAAGGTAGAAAACAGTTAAATCAGTATGCAAAGGCTCTCAGCCGTTACATTTCTTTACTTTGTTTATAATTCAAAACTGCAGCTTAAAATGAGCTTTTAACATTATTTTCTACCCCTTTTTGGCGCCCCCCTAGGGTCGGCGCCCGGGGCGGCCGCCCTCCCCGCCCTCCCCTAGCTACGCCTCTGTGTGCACAGTTCTGATCACACTATCCATTCTTATGCCGAGGTCAAGAACTCTACTGCATCTGCTAAGTCTAAAGAGGAACTTTACTTGGGTGTCATATATGATAGACACAGTGGCGTTACTAAGTCGGGTTGCAACCCAGGGTGCCCTCCCATTCCCTCTACAAACGACTATGATATACTAAAACTTTAGGTAGTTTCAAGAAACATTTGGCGACGACAAGACCTTGAAGCTGAAAGTACAAGATCTAGTCAGGTTTAGAAAATGGTACCGGGCAAGGTACTCTGGGGATCTTTGTTCGGTGGTCTATACCTCAGGGGAGGGGGGCAGTGGTGATGATATGTAGTTTGGTGTCACCCCCATCACGTATAGCCTCACTCTCTCCCTAATGACGCATATAGCTATTGTGTCACCCCATTGGATGGTGTTACCCGGCGCAACCCCCCCCCCCTCACACACACACAACGCTTCCGTCTTGTGACGCTATTGGATGTGCATTTCTTAATATACTGGTACTGATTTCATTGAGATTCATAAGTCAATATATTGAATCGATAAATAAATAATCGGTGAAAGTTATAGTGCATATGAGGGGGAGGGGGGGGGGGGGGGTAAAGGGGGGGGGGGGTATAAAACAACACATTATTTATTCTGTTTTAGCCCCGCTTCCCCCCCCCCCCCCCCCCACGTTCCTCAATCATCACAAAAAGCCGCCATTGCATTTAATCACATTTTGTTAATGGCGAAATCACTCCTTCGTGACGTACTTGATGAAAGCAGAACCTGGAAACTGTGGTTGTATTTTTTTTCTCACACTCACCCATCGTGAAACTTTGTGACTAACGTTCACATGTAGGCCTTCAAGTAACAAGTGAGTTGATTCAGGATGTTCTCACTTGGAAATACTTATGGGATTCAGGATATATCATTAAAATTTCATGTATTATATAGGCATATATATATATATATATATATATATATATATATATATATATATATATATATATATATATATATATATATATATATATGCCAATATATATATATATATATATATATATATTGGCAAGCATTATTATTCTATTTATTATTCTATTCACAGGTTAGCTTTAATTCTCACCTCTCATGGTCACACGGCGTCACATATAGCCGGACTCTTCCCTAAAATGACAAATCACGAAGTTAATATTACTTAACTCGCATTAATCTTAATTATACTGGTGGGAAAAGTTTTTTTCAACCATTTTTACCTTTAAAAAGTACTAAATAAACGCAGAATTTTCTAACCCGCACCCCTCCCCCACATAGAATAACTTATCCTTCCTCCTCCTTTAATATTTAACATAATTTAAACCCTCTTTCCGTCTCCAATCTATCAATGCATTGTTTTTTTTTTGTTTTTTTTTTTTTTATAAATTACCTAAGTCGCACAACGACATGAAAGAGGAACAACTCCTTGGTTGTATTATTTTTTTTGGTAAAAATTCGATTGTCTCTCTTTGTCCGATGTGTGCCTATGACGAGGACTCTTACAAGAAGCTGTAACTGAAGATGTGTTAAGTTTGTTTAGAAGCACACACAACAAATTACGGGAAGACGGGTGTTTCGTTTTTTTTTAAATATTATGTTACGTATGCTGGGGTGTTGTTATACAGGGCAAAATGTGTATAACGCTATCTTTAAATTATTTGAAAATTATGTTTGTATTTGAATAATGTCTGCTTTTTTAAAAAATGTATGGGTAAATAAGTTTTCACAACTGGTTTTCACGTTCGTTAACACAATTAACACCTTACAATTTAAGGCTTTACAATTGTTCCCCAACGTGTGTCAGGTACCCGTCAGAGTTCAGGGACGGCCTACATTCCTGAGTCCCAATCGAGATCCGAACTTGAGACCTTGAGATGTTCTATTTTTAAAGTTTCCTAATGTATATTTGTATAGCTATGGGCGGATCTCGGGAAGAACTTACAGACTGCTCAGCCCCCTCCCCTCTCTCAATAAATAAATATATCTAGCTCCACCCACATCATTTGTCTAAACAATCCTGAACAAAAACAACCAATAAACAGTGTGCACCAATTAAAACGTGATTTATAACGAAGTTATTGCCCAGCATTGGCTTACCTACAGATTATTTAAACATAAAGTTGTGAAATATACTTCAGTACCCACGACTTTGCTCGGTCACATAAGGGGGCACAACAAACGGAATTTGCCTGAGGCATCAAAACACACGGTGACGTCACTGCACTGTGTGGTTGTTTCCTCGCTTCTCATTGTAGCGCATTTATTATCGATGAATTTCTTAGGGGCAATAATAATAATCAGTTTAAATGTTCGAATTTATTTAAGTGTGAAGTGACTCAGGCTGGGTTATGAATCATGGGCACATCTCTTTATGTGTGATGGGGACTGGGGTACAATAAAATTAATTAATCATTGCTCTGCCTAAAAGTTATTGATCCATATCTCTATATTAAATCATATCTTTATCCCACATCAAAATTAACTTCAGCCTAACACCCTGAACTAAACTACCCAAAACAACTTTTTTGGTGTTAACTCATTTTGCAAACCTATTATCTTTTTTTTTTTTTTAGTTTTGATACATTAGATCTAGATCTATAAATAAATCTATATGTCGTTATAAATATACTATCCTGTTGATGTTTTTTTTTAAATTAATTTTTAAAATGTTACTAAAATGCTGTAAATAAAACTATAAGAAAAAGAAAAGAAAAAACGAAAGGAAAAGAATCTAGATCTAGATCTAGTTCACATTCGTCATTAGAGCAGAAGTAGAATCACTTGTTTTGAACAAAAATAACATTATGATTTTTAAAAAAACACAACAAAAAAAACGGAATTTTCTGAAACGTAATTCATTATTTTTTCAAATTGTGCACACGTATTCCTTACTAGACCTATGTAAATGTTTTAAATACTTGCGCTATATGTAAGTGCCCATACCTCTTCTCCCACTCGGGGTAATAAAGCGTGGGATGCAATTTGTGTCGACACCTCAAAGGCGGACGACTGGGAGTGGCTAAAGGTTCAGTTTAGTGAGGCCCACAAACTGTCAGACACATCTAGAGCGTGTAGTGTTATGCTGCCGTCAGCTATACGAGGGACACCGTGTCGTATAGCTGGGGTTGTAGAAAGTTTTCAGGGACATCTAATGTCCCGTTCGAAAAAAAGAAAGAAAGATTGTAAACAGTAAAATAAAAGGACGTGAAATTGTTCGAAAGTGTGTATCAAACATTAGTTTGTCACCATTTTTATCCTGGATCTGGATTGTTGTTAGAACTTGTGCCAAAACAGGTCATCTGGTGAGCCAATTTAATTTTTTATTCAATAGTAGACTGGATCAAGTTACAGAATCAATAGGCCTAGATCTACATTTAACATTTTACAGTACACTAATTTTACAGACGTGTGAAGTGTGTTGTACTAAAATTTACTTTGATTAGTAGATCTAGATCTATAATTCTATATTCTGTAGATCTAGACTAGAATCTAGATCTAGGCCTACCAAAAGCCAAAAAGTTCAGGAATCTAGAAAATCAGGCAAATCAGGAATCTAGAATTTAGACTTAGGACTTAGAATCTAGTCTAGATCTAGATCCTAGAATCTAGATTAGATCTAGAAATCTAGATCTAGAATCTGGAATAGATTCTAGTCTAGAATCTAGAGTTAAACTAGCTAGGTCTACCAAAAATTGTTTGCCTACAATAAGGCTAAGGCCTACATTAAAATTGTTTGTTTTTAGCATATTGTCCCTACTTTTATTTCCTTTCGTCTTTTGCTTCCTTTTGTCTTTTACTTTAAGTTTATACTTGGCTTAGTCTAGATTATTATAGATCTACTTTATAATTAAAATTTCATTTTGGCTCAGGCCTATTAATTTATTAGTATTAGACCTAAACTAAATATTAGACCTATTCTAATTCTATAAACTATAATTAATATGCACTACTCCTAATGTGACTAGATCTAGATCTAAATCTCCACCATTATGGCCCAGTAATAAAATCTTTAAAATTGTGTGTTAGTTTAGTCACAGTTGTAGTTAATTTGCTAATATCTATGCCTATCCTATCCCTAGCCCCAACCATAGTCCTCCCATACGCTTGACCCTAATTTCTAACCTTTATACTACACATGAGAATACAACCTAGATCTAGTACATCCATTTTTGGTACCGTCTTACCAGACATCTGTATCCTCAATCATCTCTAGATGTAGATCTATAGGCCTACATTTTAAAATAATCCTAGATCGGAGTTTTAACTCAGTAGAAATGAAAACACAAATAACTGAACATGGAACTAAAATCTGTACGATTATTGGCCTAATGACAATCACTGAAATATATTTTAGAATAAAAATCTATAGCCTGCTACTATAATCTAGATTTATTTGTCTACATGTAGTCTTAGTTTGTTTGTATGCCTTTTTTATTTAAATTATTGGGCCTATCAAAAGTATCATTGATGAGTAAATTATTTAAAATGTTATAGATAGGCCCTATGCATATAAAATCTATGCTTAAGTCTAAGTGATTCAAATTCAAAGTGATTTTACAAATAATGTTATATAATTATTTTTCATTTAGGGACCTAATAGCACTGCAACCATTATACTTAGAATATTCAAGATTCCTATCAAGAGTTCAAATGTTTAGCATTTTGGTTTTCTGTTGTTTTATTGTCGTATCAATGTTATTTTTTTGGCTTGTATTTTTAGCAATAATCAATCATTGAATGTCATGTCATTTTATTAATTACCCAAAATAACATTAGGTCTGAGAACTTGACATTTCAAGTGCGTTGCAAATATTATCTCCACACTCAAGAGTTTGAGGTGCCCACCTACTGAGTTATCATACCAAGGATTAGGCCTATCTGAGGACCAACTACTAGCACACCCTAGCTCCACCAGGGCTACACATTGTTGGTTTACACTGATGTGTTGTTGTACACACCAGTCAGGCTTGAGTTTGTGATTAGAGTTATCTCATCATAGCACATTATTACTCTTATCTGTTTCTCAAAAGCTGTGATTACAAATCCAGCTTTAATTTTTGTCTTTTCAGAAATCTGTAGGGCTATTTATTTTTAGTCAGACAATGTTTTGATATAGCTTGCTGATAATCAAGTTTTTTTTATGTTAATAAATTTTGTTAATACCTGTTGTTGTTCACCTTAAACTGTAAACTTATTGAAAGCAAAATATATCCATTTGGTATGAGTACATCAGAAATTTTTTTATTGGGCAGTAGATCTATATATTATATGGTATAGGCCTATACATTTTATAATTTACGAATACTCAAATTGAAGTTTTCTGGCTCTGTTCTGGAATTAATTTAAAACTGACAATAAGCTATTTCATTTCCCCATTAAATGTTTTGAATTGAATTGCTTGGTATGCTTAGCTGGTGTTCCAAATGCAGCTTGTATTTCTTTAAATATCATGTAACAAACACCACCCAAGCCCACACCCCCCCCCCTTCTCTTCAGCTCCACACTCTGTCTAGAGCGGAAGTTGTCAAGTTGTCTACTTAATGTTTTTCCTATTTTGACATTTCTAGGGATAATTTAATTTTTTAAAACTCAGCTGAACTTCCTACTATAAGTTTTAATTTCCTTCTCTTTATTCTCTTTATGTTGCTCGGATGTCTGGTAAGATTTCTTTCAGTATTTGTCAGCGAAATTACTTGTCCTGTAAAGCTGAACAGTCACCGCTTTGAATTGACATTTTTGAAGGGGGGGGGGGGTGAATACTGTCATACAAACGCAGGAAATGAAGCAAGATAAAAGCAGAGCTGCAATTTATTCTGGGGGCGGGAAGGGGGGTGGTGGTAGACTACCCCGATTGTATCTACTGGGGTAGGAGTGATTCAGAAGAAATACTTTTCCTTTATTCACAACTCTACAATTGTAACGGCAGCACTTGAGTCTTCACCCAGTACCCTGCCACGGGCAGTCAGGGATCTCCCCACCCCCCACCCCGTCTGTCCCACATTTTTTGTGGGTCCGTGAAACTTCTCTTTGTGCCTCAGTCTCCCCTCTCCTAGCCCCTGACCCTTAACCCCGCCAGCTCCTCTTTTTGTTGTCGCTGAATGTGTGTGTGGACACCATCATATTTTAAGCTGTGGACACACCAGCACACGTTATTTATTGTTCTGTGTGTGGGACTCGATTTGGTATTTTGCACTTTCTGGTAAAATACAGCCAGCTAAAAAGTTTAACTGGATACAAATGTGTAAACTGTCTTATCCATCTGAATTCACCCTATCTTTTGTTTTACTCAACTTCTCATAAAATGTATATCTGATAACAAATCTTTTTTTTTGTTGCTAGATATGTTGTGTAGGCTACTGTTTCCGACTTATCTAACTTGTAGTAGCGTTGGCCATAAAGTCACGTGGGCTGAACTCCCCTTTTTCCGTTACTAAAAATAGACCCAAAACAAACGAATGCACTCAATCCGCTGGGGTGTAGTATTTGATATAACACCGTCTAGCCTCATTTGCTTTATAGTTTTTTTTTCCCTTCTGTTTGGATGGCGATAAAGTCAATATTGGCGTGCAGTTGTACTTAAAATAGAATGTGACAATCGTAAAATTACCACTCAAATAGAAACTCCCTCACCCCGCTTGAACGGCTGCAGGGAAGCAAAAGGGCGCGCATTCCGCAGAGCAGATGTAACCGCTGACGGCCCCAGTCTCGCTGATACCGACTGAGTACATAGTAGCCTGTGTCTACCTGCACTGGGCGTCCCTTCGCTCACTTTCCATATAAGGAAATTAATGACGCTTGCCGTTACATTGGATTGTCGGTCAGTCGTACCCAGGGGTACGTGGATGTGCTATCGGCGATATCTTCAAGTATTTAGTGGTAGGTGTGGGGTTTTTACACTTAGTGTCCATATTCCTCGTCCCTTACACGTCGTAGGTCGGATCTAGGTGTGGGGGTTTTAGTGCCTATATTCCTCGTCCCTTACATGTCATCAAATGCCACGGGTCTAGGTGTGGGGTTTTAGTGCCTATATTCCTCGTCCCTTACATGTCATCAAATGCCACGGGTCTAGGTGTGGGGTTTTAGTGCCTATATTCCTCGTCCCTTACATGTCATCAAATGCCACGGGTCTAGGTGTGGGGTTTTAGTGCCTATATTCCTCGTCCCTTACATGTCATCAAATGCCACGGGTCGGGTGTTAGAGTTGGTGTACGGCTGTCGACGACCTAGCACCCTCCCCACCCCGCACAGGTCATCATTTGTCCTGGGTCAGCTTCTCCTGCAGGGCTGGGGTCACACAAATGTCTATGGGGGGGAGGGGGGATGCTCCTGAACAATGTTTTGACCTGTCATCCATCTCTGGCCTGAGGGTGGTGTCGAAAGGTCAAGAACGTTTGTGGTCATCAGGGAGCTATGCCCATCACGCCTCTAGGGCGCTCGCTACATTTTTGCTTTGCTGATGTTTATGTTACAGTGGGAAACTTTTCTGTTGTGTGCTGTCAGACTGAATTTACAGCTCGACAGTCAGTAAATCGATCACCATATCAATCGCTCCGTGCAAGTTTTATCGACTGGGTTCAAACGATAAGATTAAAGGTTATCGGTGAGTGGTTGAAATATCGATACCGATTTATTTATTTAGCTTTCACGGTCATCATTGTATCGCGACATTAGTAATCCATCGTTGAATAGTTAAATATACATGTTTGGTTTTATAATGCAATGGGCATTAGTTTAAGAAGACAGAATAAATTTACTTGGGTCTAAAGTTAAATATAAGCTCTGTGCGTGCTCTCCCCTTCCGTCTCTTTAATCATTCTCTAAGCTGCTAGTTTGTAAACGGCTCAGAATAGGTTGCCGACCTCTACGTTAACCTCTGGAGATTGGTAGGCCCTACGGTTAATTTGAGCTGAAGCCGGTGTTACATTTCACCCCCCTCCCCCAGTAACTGGAGCATAAAGTGTCCCGTGTCTAAGAGCCAGTAGACAGCCATCAGAGCGTTAACCCTTGTCACCCCCCGCTGCCAGTAATGAGATCAATCAATCGCCGGACACCTGAGTGGCCGCATACAAACTTATGCTGTTTTTTAGAGGCTTTGAGTTGAAACGAAATCGAAAGGTCACGACTAGCGACCTTTGTGTTTTTATAAACATTGTGTCTGAGAGAGGCCTTCCGTTCAACTTCAGCTAATCGCGGCCTGTGTTTAAGAACAGATGTGCAGCTGATAACAAAGTTTGTCCTGCGCTGGTGTATCATGTTTTGGTGCAGATTGTGGTTGTATCTGCTGATTGTTCTCCATTATCTGCCCACGATTCTATTCGTGCAACATTAACACTAAAACAGTACATGTAGATATATTTATATATTTAGCAAGAGTGTCCCAACTAGTTAACGACAGTGTGAAACATTACAGTCAACTAGTTAGAAGACTGCTGAGTGCTGTGTGACAGTCGTTGTTGACAATTAGCGGGCCCAGGTCAATTGAGGCCACTAGTGGTGGAGAGGTTAGGTGTCAGGGAGTTCTTTGCTCCTTGAGTGGACTTCGTCCGGTCTGGCTAAGTAAGACTCGCCCAACTTTGTGTTTTTCAACATCCACTCTCTGCTACCATCGTTGTGGTGTGTCTTGTGATGTTTAACCCGGTTTATTGTGGTTTGTGAGTGTTAGTACCGCACTCAACTAGATCTACTTTAGATGATTGCGTAAAGTTAAAGTTCGCGCGTAAAAATTTCAAAGTGTTCTACGTTTGTGATGTTGTTTGTTGGCTTTCAGCAATAAAACGTTTCAAGTATTGTGTTGATGAGTACACTCCTAGCGCCGAATGTTTGTTTCGTTTATAAATGCTGTTTATCTTTTTATCTTTATGCTGTGTATGTGTGATCACGGTCTACACTAACGATGGGTGCGGCGTTCGTTTTACAACCTCCACTACGGCATTGTTTTTGTTTATTGCAGATTGAATTATTGAATTATTAGTTCAAATTTTTAGTTTCTAAAAAAAAGTTTTCAGATTGTGTGGGTTGTGATCATACAGTCTGTCGTTTAAATTTTTTTCCCCACAGTGTTTCCTTGGTTACTAATCTGTTTGTGGAAAAAAAATGGTTTTAGACTGACGCAGAAATATTTGTTTCCCGCAATGGTTAGTGTGGATTTGTGCGAGTAAAATGTAGAACATTCTGTACTCGGTTTGTTGCCATTATTTTGTAGGCTGGTTGTATCCCAGCTGGACCGCGCGGGTCACCCTAGTTTCCGACATGTTTTGGTCTGCCGTCCGGGGTGTTTTTTGAGCAGTGGGCCAGCTTGCGTCAGTGTGGACCGCTACAATGGCGTGACATCATCACAGCGGGGCTGGTCTTTGTCCTGGCCACTCACAAAAATTCTCTGACTCACACCCGAGACCCCCCTTTTTTGACAAAAAAAATCTTTTTATGCCATTCGGAAACTATTTGGAAATCGAACTTCCTTGCCTGGCTCTTCCTTAGTTTAAACCTCTGGTGTTTTTTTCCGTTGTTTCATCGGTTTATTTTTTTTAATCTGATTTTTGCATATGTAAATAGAACAATCTCTCTTATTTATAAACGTTGATGTTTTATTTCACGGAATAAGACCTTAACAGTCTGTAACCGAGGTAAGGTCCGTGTCATTGTATTTTTATATTGTGAACGTCAGCCATCTTCCCATTACACGACGGTTTAATGGGATTTATTTCTTTGAGCCCCCTCGTGTTTTTTTTTTTTACGTTCCTTCAAACAACTTTCTGTGTACGCGTCAGGGCTATAAATAGATTCCTTTATGTATTTGGATAGCCAATTTACCGGGTGTAATTTCGTTTGTTTGGTCAGTTTTTGATTGACGTCACTTGGTGATCATACTGCACCCTGGTACTGGGTGATTTTTTTTTTTAAATTACCTTCGCTACAGTTGTATCAGTTTTTATAGCCAGCTTCTGCCTCTGTAAACGGTGTAAATATTCATGTGTGATTTTTATCTTTTTTTTTTTACTAGAAATAAATAGGTTTGAAATAACTTTCGTATTCTTGTATTTCAGAGCAGATGGTTTTATGACACAAGTATTTTAGGCACTTGAGGCTTCACCTCTTTATATAGAAGAAACAAGATCTCATGGTCATTGAACAGCGGACATTGTGCCCATTCGTTCTTGGAGGGACCAATGCTTTCCATATACATTCCTGAGGATTACCGAGCCAGTCATTGAGGCCTGGTGTAGCGTTAGTACAAGGTGCCACCCGTGACTACAAGGTGCCACCCCCAGGTGTAGGTGACATCAGTGGTTCTCCCACTCGGGTGAGATCGGCTCCAGTGGTTCCCCACCTCTCATGTCTGTGGAGGTGCTGGTCTCAAAGCCCGCCCCTACCCTCACAGCCCCCCAGTCCAGCATGAAAGAACAGGTTCGTCCCTCCTCCCACAGTAACCGGCGCAGTAACAGTCACCAGAAGGCGCCCGGGCACCCGCCGCCCCAGCCCTCCCCCCAGTACTACAACCGCCCGTCCGGGGATGTGGTCATGCGGAGCACCCAGGATACCAACGGTCACAACGACATCCAGCACCACTTTGATCACAACCATATCATCTACGACAACACCACAGACACTACATACCTCAGGGGAAGACTTCTAGGAAAAGTGAGTACAATTCCCCTCTTTAATTACCCCCTCCCACCTCATATTGGTACTCCTTGTCTGTGGCAGATTAAGAAAAGATGTAGTGGTCTTATGAGGCTGCTCATTTCAGGTGACCCCCTATGAAATATTGTCTTACAATAGTCTAAAGGTCCTAGCAAGATTTCACATAGGGACCACTCTACCCCCCCCCCCCACTTAACTAAACAAAATACACCCCAGCTGGTCCACCCCCCCCCCCCCCCCTTGCATCATCCTACATGAGAATTTTTGAAAGGTTTTTCTTTTACTTACTGTAGAACCTGTCCCATACCAGTGTGTTAAAGAGGCTTGTACTGTGTAAACACAGATGCCAATGTAACATTGCTCTGTGTATACTAATGCTGTAGAATTCACACACTGCTCAACACACTATTTGTGAGTAACGAATACATAAATACTAATGTGGTCTACATTAGTCATGATGTCTACTTCACATCATGTTGACATGACTCAAGCTGTAACTTCCTCTGTTGATCGGGTTGAAAAGATGTTGATCATGTTGATACGAGGCCAGCTGTCACATGTTGACACTGTTGTGTTGAAAAGATGTTGATCTTGTTGATATGAAGCCAGCTGTAACATGTTGACACTGTTGATTGAGTTGAAAAGATGTTGATCTTGTTGATATGAAGCCAGCTGTAACATGTTGACAGTGTTGATTGAGTTGAAAAGATGCTGAACATGGACCTCATTAGAGGGTTCGTGTCATCAAGGCACATCTTATGGCGGCTCAATGGTTTGTTTGTATTGGTTTCTATGACCTCATCTTGTTCAGCCAAACGCTCTTCCCCCCCCCCCCCTCCTTATCGTCTTTTTCATGTTAGCCGACAGCCCCCCCCCCCCCCCCCACCAGGTATAGCCGGCCCAAAGTTGAGCGCTAATACGAGCAAATCTCCCAGTGCCGACACCCTGCGACTAGCACACGTAACACAAATCCTGGACAAACATCTCCCAGGTCACCGTGTCCCTGGTCCCCACGGTGCTGCTGCCCCCCCCCCCCCCCCCCCCCACCGCGTGACGTCATAGAATGTCAACACGCCGTTCTCTCCCCCCATCGACGGTTCGGCCGTCCCGCTACCTACACGGCCATCGTCCACCTCACCACCATCGTTTTAACCACCCTTCCCATCATCATCACCATCAAACTACCATCATCGACATGCCATCACTCCAGCATCCACACCGACCAGATCCGTTTGTATCCCCTCCATCTATTTAACCACTGTAACTAGCCATTGTTTGGCCAAAGATTTTCCTTAAAAACGTCTGCGCCGTTTCGTCTGTTTGGTAGCAGCAGAGCAAAAAAAAAAGTTTCCCGCATTGACTGGTTTTCCCAAAATCGTATAATAAATCTTGCAACAGCTTGCCTTACAAATTAGAATTTTCCCTGCGTAATTTTTCCCGATTAGTACTGGGCGTTATGCAGCAGATTTACGAAGGAGTGGGTACCTTCTCACAGTCATTGGGTGGGCGAGTTTAGCAAGGGGTGATGAGGAAGTTATAGCTCTTTTAGTCAGCTAGACTTGTTGAGGGCAAAGGTCAACAACATCTATACTTTGTGAAAATCTTTTTAGTCTTCTTAAAGTTCTAAACTTTAATAGTCCGCTCCTCATTTTCGTAACTGTAAACTCAAGACGGTTACCGGTTTAGATTGTGTATACCCCCCCCCCCCCCCCTGAGTACCAGTAATTGAAGGTTTGTGAGACCCAACCTCCCTATTTCCTGTTATTGATAGGGCAAGCGCTAAAAATATAATTTCCCTTGAAACGTCACCAGCTATTGGACGCGTGTGTCCCACCAGTCATTACACGGCCGTGCTGGGCGTCAAACGCGACACGACGTAAGCAGTGCAAACAAGGCTTACCTGAACACGCTATTTACAGGCTTTGGGTTCTTTTTTAAACTTTTTACATTCGACAGGAAGAAAACAGAGGGGGGCTTGTATTTTAAGTGGTAGGATGAGGAACAGACGGTCTGTACACAGTGATGGTTGGTGACCAACTGCAATGTTGGTGTAGAGTTACATAACAGTGGTCATTTGGGTCAGGCCAGGTCTTGACGCTTTCCATTGAGCCGTTAGGCTGGTCAATACGGTACACGCATCACCGTGCTCTGTGTGAGAGGGAGAAAAAAAATCCCTGAGGTATTTCGTCAACCAAGTGAGGCTCAAGGGGTGACTTTGATCTTGGTTCGGTCCCCCTTCTCGTTGGTTTACACCTCGGGCACGTCACCGCTAGGATCAGTTGCCGGATTTCTAAAGGGAGGGTTGACGTTGAGGATGGGGTTTTTTTTTTTACTCAACACCAAGAAGTCCTCTAGAAAGTGGGGACTAATTTCTGCCCTTGAGACCGTGTTGGTGGTTTCCTGGTCATGTTTGAGCCAGGCCAAAACCAAACAACGAACATGCCTAGCCGGAGAGTCGAATCTCCCCGCTAGTCTGTGCTGGACCCGGGGGGTGGGGGTGACAGTCCCACGCCTTGAAATGGTTTGTTCAATTTATAAAACAAACCACACCGCCGTGCCAGGGGCGAGTCAAGCGGTGGGATAATGAGGGCAAACCTCTGGCTTGTACAGATGGTAGCTAAATGGCGCTAGACGTTGAGAAAAACTCTCCGAATGTTTGTCAACATTGTAGTGAGACTTGGACTAAAACAAGAAGTGGCCTGTGAAACTGCTGGCCATCGGGTCGTATCTTAATCCCTAGATGTTTGCTCACACGGAGGTTAAGTGGAGGATGGGGGGTCATGAACTGTGAGCAACATTTCCTGTTAAATTTCTCATCCTACTTCAGATAGTGACGCACGAGCTAATCTCGAGATCAATATCGGGTTATCTCTTTTTTTTTTAGTGTACACATTGATCCTTCTTAGTAGGGACACACCAAGTCATGAAAGTTGTTAGATGCTAAGGTTGTGGCTGTCCCATATGTTGACATTAGGACACCAAGTCATGAAAGTTGTTAGATGCTAAGGTTGTGGCTGTCCCATATGTTGACATTAGGACACACCAAGTCATGAAAGTTGTTAGATGCTAAGGTTGTGGCTGTCCCATATGTTGACATCAGGACACACCAAGTCATGAAAGTTGTTAGATGCTGAGGTTGTGGCTGTCCCATATGTTGACATTAGGACACACCAAGTCATGAAAGTTGTTAGATGCTGAGGTTGTGGCTGTCCCATATGTTGACATTAGGACACCAAGTCATGAAAGTTGTTAGATGCTGAGGTTGTCTCTGTCCCATATGTTGACATTAGGACACACCAAGTCATGAAAGTTGTTAGATGCTAAGGTTGTGGCTGTCCCATATGTTGACATTAGGACACACCAAGTCATGAAAGTTGTTAGATGCTGAGGTTGTGGCTGTCCCATATGTTGACATTAGGACACCAAGTCATGAAAGTTGTTAAATGCTAAGGTTGTGGCTGTCCCATATGTTGACATTAGGACACCAAGTCATGAAAGTTGTTAGATGCTAAGGTTGTGGCTGTCCCATATGTTGACATTAGGACACCAAGTCATGAAAGTTGTTAAATGCTGAGGTTGTCGCTGTCCCATATGTTGACATTAGGACACCAAGTCATGAAAGTTGTTAGATGCTGACGTTGTCGCTGTCCCATATGTTGACATTAGGACACACCAAGTCATGAAAGTTGTTAATGTTGACATTAGGACACCAAGTCATGAAAGTTGTTAGATGCTAAGGATGTGGCTGTTCCATATGTTGACATTAGGACACCAAGTCATGAAAGTTGTTAGATGCCCAGGTTGTTGCTGTCCCATATGTTGACATTAGTACACCAAGTCATGAAAGTTGTTAGATGCTGAGGTTGTGGCTGTCCCATATGTTGACATTAGGACACCAAGTCATGAAAGTTGTTAATGTTGACATTAGGACACCAAGTCATGAAAGTTGTTAGATGCTAAGGATGTGGCTGTCCCATATGTTGACATTAGGACACCAAGTCATGAAAGTTGTTAGATGCTGAGGTTGTGGCTGTCCCATATGTTGACATTAGGACACCAAGTCATGAAAGTTGTTAGATGCTGAGGTTGTGGCTGTCCCATATGTTGACATTGGGACTGATGGTACAAATGTGGGGTTCAGCTCTTATTTCTACTATATACCCCCACTATTCAGCCAACCGTATCTCTACTTAGCCAGCCAGCGATTAATTCACAGCTTGGGCTAGTAGACTAATCTAAATCGCCTTGCGCCGTCTGTTGAACAGAAATCAATTATCGATTTGTTTGATCCGATATCTAGTAATATTGCCTGGGTATACCTGAAATTGGAAATCTCATACATTTTATGTAAGCCATTGGTTATTTTCGTTAACCCACGTCCCACATATAACCCAGCACACACACATCACCCACTACCCACACATCACCCCCACTACCCACACATCACCCCCACATAACACTCACGACCCAAACATCACCCCCACTACCCACACATCACCCACACCTATCACCCACTACCCACATCTCCTGCACCTACACTACACATGTGCTCTATGGGTGGAACTGTCACTGCTGCACCCGACGACCTTCATAGATCGAGCACAAGGAACACACAAGTGTGTCGCGTCTGACAACCCGACAAACCGGTGTCTGTAGGGACTTGAATGGAACTTAAATACACCTCGCACACTCAAGGGTAGTCAGTAGGTTACACACGGAACTGCGTTGTAATTATCAACATAACCTTGGTATGATACAGTCGATATGTATATGACATATATGTATGTGTGTATGTATGTATGTCTGCCTGTATGTATATCTGTATGTATAAAGGCGAATGTCTTGCTAAACTTTCCCATCCCCCCACCACCTACGACATTCCTAGCCCCTCGTCATTCACCTGTGACGGACCGGTAACACCTACCTAGATCTTATACCTACACATTGATTGCTACTTCTTGTGCCATTCTTCTTGTATTAATCACATACGTTTGACG